TGAGTTCTACACTGCATGTGCTCATCTTTTAATCCACAGCTGTCATTTGATGTGCTGACAGGACTTTGGAGACTACCAGGATGGGTACTACTCTGTGCAAACCACAGAGGGAGAGCAGATTGCCCAGCTTATTGCTGGTTACATTGATATCATCCTCAAAAAGGTCAGTAGGAACATTCAAATGTTGTAAATGACAATACTCCAAACAAGTAAAATATTTGTAAGTAAAATATTTGTTAGTTTTTTAAAATTCTGTGGTCAATCAGCGGCAGCTTAAAACTGCATTTGTGTCTTCATATTACTGTCTTAATAGAAAAAAAGTAAGGACCACTTTGGCTTTGATGGAGATGATGAATCACCCATGGAGGAGGACTCTGTGTCTCCCAAAAAGTAAGTGTGTGTGTCTTTACAGATAAATTGGGTCAAATCGGGACAGAAAATCCATATGTGGATTTCAATACATACATTCAAAGAGTAAACCATTAAATATTCATTATATACAGACACTGTATATGTGTATGTATTGTATATTAAGGTTGGGGTTTTACTGTGTTAATTTTGACTAATCAACTACAGATAAAAATAACACATTAAAAAGAATTACCTTATTTTATCACACTGCAGTGTAAGCACACTTGAACGACAAATCCCTTAAAAAAATTATTAAAATATGAAGAGCCCATTTATTTCAGAAACTACAGATTAACTTTTTGAAAGCCTATATTTCTGTGAATTATGATGATTTTCCACTTACAGCTAATGAAAACATGACATTTAAAATGAGAATATTACATTAAACCAACAAAAAGAACTGTTTAAAAAACATTAAGGTGGGCTTTATGAAACACACGTAATACCTGCTTAGTAGTTATTTTTAAAAGCTGCTTCTAAACCGACAGGCAGGCCTCATCTGAACGCATATTCTAGTTTATTAAACACAACCGTAATGTTTAAATGAGTAAATAATAGGGGAGTTCTGATACTACTTTTTTCCAAATCGAGTATGAATACAAGTACTTCAGTTTAGGTACTCGCCAACACCGACACCAAGTAGCTAACAAGTTGGTTATATTTTACACAAAACTTTTAAAAACAAGTTGATTTTATTTAGAACAGGATGGCTCTTGTTTTTAAGCTTGCACACCTTCTGACTGTTTTAATAAATCATAAATGGCGCAATACAGATTATTTAGTCTTTGAATGCTTTATCAAAATGCTCATTAAATGACGTTTAGTGAGCGATTTAGATTTATAGCCAACCTGAAATTCAGGCTGGATTGGGCTAAAATGTCTTACTTGATGGTGGGTCAGGCTTCTGTAGCGCATTTAATAAACCTCAAGTACATACAGAGAACGCCATAAGAGGATGCAGAATCAAGTTGTGTTAATCTACTTATTAGTAGAGTAGGTGTCTGTTAAAAGCACAGTTTGCTCCACCGTAGTGCACCATAATGGTGGAGCAGCTCCACCACTATGGTGCAATTAATCACACAACCCAGATGACCAATGTTAAAAATGGAAGCAGTTGCATTGTTTACTGTAATGATGCTCAAAAAACAAAACCAGTTAAAGCTTAATTAAAATAATATTTCATCCCCTCCTAACTTATCCATTCTCTCTGTTCTTCTTCTGTTTTTTTATTTGTTTTTGTTTTGTTTTTTGGGAGGATCAACAAATAACTTATTGATGCCTTTGGAGGCTAAATGTGGATTAGCAGGGCAGCCCAGGAGGAAAGCCCAGCAGAAATAGTGGTTGCTTTTACAAGTACTAGTACTTGATGCAGTATCTGGTTCACCAGTATCAGTATTGGGACACCACTAGTAAATAATGGATGTCAGTGAATCCATTATTTGACACTGTTTACTGACATCACTAAATATCTGTTAGAGGAATAAACATGTCACTGTTTCTATGTGAAAATGGTTTTAATCCAGAAAGTTTCTGCTTTTACTTTATTGGCTCTTGATTAATTATGCATCATTCACACTGAGGGCGAGGCATTAATAAAAACACTTTATCTGTAGAGAACAGAAAATTACATTTTCACTTGTAAATATAGAACTAAATGCTATAAACGTACTTTAAACAATGCAGAGTAGACTAGAAACAGACGACCTGAGTGGTCTGGAAGGTTGGTACAACTTCAACAGTATTTTAAAGACTATTCTCTCAGTGGAAGGACTTTATATGGGGTGATGTGCTTTATCTTCCTGGTTTTAGTGAGAACACAAGCATCAGCATTCCAACTAAAGATGTGTTTAGCATGGGTGAGTTTATCTAGAGCTTGCTGCAACATTAGTACTTTAAGTAAAAGAAGGTTGACTTATAATTATCTTTATATGTCTCTGAAGGTTCAAGTTAGAGTCCATCACAATACTCAGATTTTGGGCCTGACCTCTAGTTTATGGTTCTAATAACTGAAGCTTTGTGATGACTCTGGATTGTTCCTCTATAGGTCAAAGATTATAACTTCAGTTTTGTTTCTATTCAGCTGAAGAAATTTGTGGCACATCCACACATTTCAGCATTTGTTCTCAGCATCTGTTCAGTGCTTCCAAACCTGCAATGTCACCAAGTGATTCACTTGGTGACATTGCAGGTTTGGATAGTCCTGCATACATCACATCTCTTGGAGATTCCATTTTAATCCAACTGTTTCATTTTGGTGTGGGAAAAGAAATATTTTTTATTTAATTACTCATCATTCTAATGTGGTAAGAGGTATATCAAAATGGAATTGCTGTAATTATTATCATTCTTTTATATTAAGTAGAGAAAATTATAAATTTATGCAAAAAACACTTAACTTTTCAGTGAGCCTTTGAGGTTTTCTTCATAAGAGTTGATTGATTATTGCCACTTCTATGAAAACATAAATGTTTCCGCTTTACATGTGAGTTTAAAGCAGAACTTTAAGCTCACATTCACTGCATTATCATGCCAGCTTTCACATATTTCCTAACCGTCTATTGTGATATTGTACCGTCTAAAGTTACTGCTCACTTTGTGGATGCATAAGCTGCTATAATTTTCTGCATATCCTAAACTTGTGACTCCAGGTCGACTGTAATGCAGCAGCAGTTCAACAGGATGGGCAAGGCAGAGACGGGCTGTGTTGCCCTGCCAGCCATCATGCGCTCAGGAGCTGGAGGTCCAGAGAGTTTCCAGAAGGGTTCCATGCCCCAGGCCAAACAGCACATTACCAGTGGGCAGATGCACAGAGGACACATGCCTCCTCTGGTAAAAAAAACAAAAAACAAGATGACCCGTTACTCATTGGTGGTAGTAGTGTTGTGGCTGGTTGCACTGCAGTGGGTGGAGCTAAAATCAGACATTTTGGGTGCAGTGCCCTCCCACTACATCCCCTGTTTCAGTCTACCCTTAGCCTGACTTTAGCCTAGATCTGTGCAGATTTTTTATACATAGCTTCTGGTCTTTTCAACCTCAAAATTATATTTAGTTGAATAAAACTTGGCATATGAAAGGTTTGTGTGAACCCCTCAAGCCAAATACCATGTCCTCTTTATCAGTATCATTTAATCTTAGGATCTATAAATAGTTCACAAGAACAGAAGAAATATCGGGGCTTTAAGAACAAAATTGCTTCATTTTTGGTTTGAATATATTAGCATCTTGTTCCTGGAATATCATCTGAGCCTAACCTTTTTTCTTGCATGGTTTGCTACAATAATTATGTACAAATCTGCAGTAGGTGGGACTTCTGAGGACCCAGACATGTACTGGCCAGAAAGAGGTCTCTGAAATGTGTTAATATTGGCTTTACTGATGTGTATTTTCTTCCTTCAGACATCAGCACAGCAAGCCCTAACTGGAACCATCAACTCCAGCATGCAGGCCGTCCAGGCGGCCCAGGCCTCTCTGGATGATTTTGATACGCTGCCCCCATTAGGAACAGATGCTGTGAGTTTTACATTTTGTCTGCTGGGGAAAGTGATTCCAGGGCATAATCCAAGAGACTGCTTAGCAAACTGTGAAATGATTATTCAGATATCTGATTTTTTTTCCATGGGTTTGATTTATTGAATTGTGTGAAAGATCCAGAATATGAGTGCAACAATAGCTATCATCAGATTTTTTGCATAATTCCCTTTATAAATCATAAATGTTCTTGGTGATTATATAAACCCTGAAATACATTAGCAATAGCAGGTTGCAGATGCAGAAAATATTAAGTTCCTAATGTAAATCACTTTGCTTTTCACTCATCAGCACTGACAAACATGAGGATCTATCCTCTGTAGTCCTTTAGAGGTCATTAACATATATATACTGCATTATGTTCCTCTTTTTAAGGCATCCAAAGCCTGGCGCAAAAACAAGATGGATGAGTCCAAGCATGAGATCCATTCCCAGGTGGATGCCATTACAGCAGGCACAGCATCCATGGTCAACCTCACAGCAGGTAGAGAGAAGAAAAGATCAGCTTGTTTTCAGAGTTGTAGGATTGAATTGTATCTCCCAGAGAGGATAGAGTCGATTAGCTGGATCGTGTACAGAATGTAAAAATCACTGCAGGAACCATCAAGCAGTTAAATACTTTTATCACAAAATGATAAGATCAGATTGCATTGAATGATAGTAGGATCAATATGGAGTGTATGTCATTGGTTGGACTGAACTGACTTTTTTGTGTAAAGAGTCGTGAGATGATGTCTTGAGAATTGGTGCTATATAAATAAACTCAATAGAACAGCAATGTGGTTTGCTGATGACGGGTATCAGCAAGCCATCCTTACTATGTTCAAATGAAGTGAAGAAAATCTATACAGCCAGCTAATCCAACAACATGCAGGCTAGTTTGGTGTAATCATTCTGATTGGTCAGTCATATTCTACTGATAATGTTTTTTGAAAATGTGACTCATAAATGTGTCAGCTGGTTTCTATAATCAAGCTTTTTCCCACAACTTTTATCAGATGCTTATTTTTTATCCCAGTAGAACGTATGACAAACTCATTCATACTGCACGGTAATCTATGGTATTCACAAAGAAAAAACATTTTATGGTCCTTGTTGTTCTGTAGAAATTTTGTGATATGTAATGAGATTTACTCGCTGTTATTTTGCTGTTTAGAGCCTGATGCATATGGCAATTTCAATTCTTTATGTTAATTTCTCGTGAATTTGTTTCTGATACACAAGAGAAATTATATTTACTTTGGGAATAAATGCAGTTGCTATTTGTGTTCTAAGGTGATCCAGCTGAGACGGACTATACAGCGGTTGGCTGTGCAGTCACCACAATCTCATCCAACCTGACTGAGATGTCAAAGGGTGTGAAACTACTGGCAGCCCTGATGGAGGACGAAGGTGGAAACGGGCAGCAGCTGCTGGGTGCTGCCAAGAATCTGGCCAGTGCTGTTTCTGACATGCTGAAGACAGCTCAGCCGGCAAATACAGAGGTAGATAGCAGCTTTAGGAGGAGGAGACATGTTATGTTTTAAGTCATTATAGTTGTTCTTCATGTCTTACTCTTCCAGCCTCGTCAAAACTTGTTGCAAGCTGCAGGAAATGTTGGTCAAGCTAGTGGAGAACTCCTGTCTCACATTGGCGAGACAGACACTAATCCACAGTTCCAGGTTTGTCAGTCCTTACTTTTATTGAAGTGTTCTTTGTTTTACAGTCTACAGTCAGGCTAAGCTCATAATAAACCTTCTCTATCTTTGCAAATATAACTGCTTTAAGTATTCTGGGATGGTTTTTCTGATTGTTTAGGTGTGTTTTATGTGAATGTATTACAATTTCTTCAAATGTGCATTTGTGAGGTCAGACCCTGATGTTTAAGGGGACAGCCTGGCAATGGTACATGGTCATGTTGAAACATGAAGGTGGCAACCCATTGAACCCTCAGATTGCTTTACAGGAGGTAGGGGTTTGTTATATAACCAGTAGGTTCAAACCCTGACTCTGTCTGACTTTGTCCTTTCTATGGGCAAGACACTTCACTTCCTTTACTGCTGGTGGTTGGCACTGGCAGCAGGTGGCGTGGCTGCATGATAGCTTTGCCTTAGTCACTCTTCCCTGGGGCAGCTGTGGCTACTATGTAGCTCACCACCATCAGTGTGGAATGAATGAATGATTAACTACTTGTAGTGCACAACGTTTTGGAGTCCTCATACTTAATAAAGCACTATACAAGTACAGACCATTTACCATCCCCCAAAATGTCTTTGTATGTTGTAGCCTTAATAATTCCATTGACTAGAACAAGGACACAAATAGTTCCTCTCACTAGAATGCCTGCCCATCACAATACCCCCATCATAATCCCCTCCTATCAACACATGCAGCCAGACAAATACTATTCACTTAGCAGCTATCAAACCCAGGCTCCAATCCATTTGCCTGCCAGATTGGAATCACGATTTATCCCTCCAGAAAACATGTCTTCAGTTTTCTGCTTGTGTTCTTCATTTCACTGCATTCAACATTTGGCATCATACTTGGGGATTTAAGACTTGGATGCAGCTCTTTGGCCATGGAAATCCATTCCATGGAGCTTAATTCTTTAAATGATCTGTTAGCCACACGAATTCTGGACAAACTTCACAACAGATCATGAAGTTTGGAGGTCTGTAGCTATTGACTCTGCAGAAAGCTGGCAATCTAAATATCTGCTGAAAATGCTGTCATGCCCAATTGCTCACATGCCCACTGTTATAATACCACAAAAAGTTGACTGTGGAATATTTTATGACTGAACTTTTTGCATAGATGGGATGTTGTCATTGCACCATCGTGGAATTCATTGAGCTCCTAGGAGAGAACTGTTCTTTCACAATGTTTGTAGAAGTCTTTGGAATGCCTTGGTGACCTATACCTGAGGTCATGGGAACTATTTAAACATGCAAATTTAATACTTTTGACAATATACTCAAGTAAGAGTAATATTACTGCAATATATTTGATTTAAGTAGAAGTATTCATCCAAAAAAAATGACTGGAGAGTTGAAAAGCAAGAACTAAAAGGTATTTGGTGAAAATACTTATATTTCAGATTTGGAGTGTACATTCAAACATATGTGGTCCTTAATAAAAGTCTCATGGATGTAATACACATTTCTCACCGTATAAAACTTTGTTTCATGTTTAATGAATATATTTGACAGCATCAGCCTAAAGGATCTTTCAGGGGTTCCAGATGGAGAACTCCCTCTAACGTTCGAGTGCTGGTAACTAACGTATCCTCCAGATAAAAGCATGACTCATTTTGCCTAATCAAGCATATTACTTTGTTTTATACTGTATATATTACTTTATCTTTAAGGTCAATCAACAAATCTTTTGCCTTTTTAACGTAAAAATAATAAAGACTAAAAGCTTCCAGTTTTTAATAGTAGGATTGGTTATTGGCAGCATTTTGATCACAATGACATATTTCCCCCTTGGTAAATTTACTCTGTAACGATCTGATTATGGTGAAATGTTCCAGCATACACCTTAGCATCCAACCAGTCCATCATACAGGCATGGCCAGAGGTCTCCATGGTGACAAACTGTGGGTATAGAGTAGAAATAACCTTTATTGTCCCTCAATGGAAAAAAATAATTGCAAACAAATAAGCTCTCTTTTAATACCTACACCTTTACAGTATGGAAAGGAAGTTAGCTGATGATTTTGCAGAAATATACTGCCAATGTGGATTGTGTTATAAAGTACACTTTAAGGATAATATGCTTTTTATGAATGAATGGACTGATCACACGAGCTGATCACTTTGTATTCATTGTAAACTAAACTGTCCACACCAAAACCAAAGTTGTAAAATTTGTAATACACATTTGCCATTGTACTTTTTTTTTAAAACGGAAAAGGATTGTTGGGGCAAATAATAAAAACATGCTTACTGAGGAAAGCATATTTTCCTCAGTCACACATTTGTGGTTCTTTATAGCACAAAAAATGGCAATTTGCAAGCCTCGTAGATGAAATGTAGTTGATGAAATGGGGCCTAATTGGTAGCAGGTAGCAGATACAGTATTAAGCTTTTTAATTTGAAAAAGACCTAAAGAACAGTAAAAATATCAATTCAAGTTACATGACAATGAATCCAAGATACCCATGCAATATTGCACCTAAAATTGGAATCCACATGGTTACAATCAGTGACAAATTACTGCACACATGCTGGGATCATAAAACGGTAGTAGCAGTTTCCACAGCACTCCATCCAGGACTATTTACAGACGTATCTTGACAGTGGACTCCCACAACCATTCATGTTATGTTCTAGCTTATACTTGATTAACAGAGTACCTATAGATTAAAAACACCTCAAACTCTGCACTGCTGTCACCTGGCATCGCTCTGGGTAGAACCCTTCCCAAAAATCTAGATTTGCTTTTTCAAAGGCTTCAACTAAAGAACTGCTCATCACAACAAACAGCTTCTCAGGAGCAGCAGACAAGGAACTTCATAATTAAGACTTCTTTTAGATTTTACACTCTGTTGGAGAGTCAGCAGGTTACTTTTCATCTTTCACTGAACTTGACATGAATAAAATCTATTTGTGCTAATTCCCACAGAAGTGGTAAATTAGTAGGTTGTAGTTTGAGAAAGACGCAAACTTTGATATGTAATAATATAGGGTGGTACATTCTGTAGACATTAATAGGGCAGTCAGTCTTAAATAACTGTAGCCTCATCAAAGTATGTGTTTCTCCTTTCTAATATCTATTTGGATCACTTGGTTTACCTTCCTACTGATTACTTTCCAAACTATTTAGATCAACTACTGGCTCATTGATTAAACTGTTGATTGATAGGACAACCTTGATTTCACATTTAATTGTGCAAATTTAAAAATATTATCTGTGCAATCTTGGAAGCATTGAACTTTCTTTGTGATTGACGTTATTATGACTAGTGTCTGTCCCTTCGTTACCCACAAGCATGGAGTGGACAGTGATAATTAGGCTGTTCACTTTTGACAGGATATGTTGATGCAGCTGGCAAAAGCTGTGGCTAATGCTGCAGCAGCTCTGGTGCTCAAAGCTAAGAACGTGGCCCAGAAGACGGAGGACTCGGCCCAGCAGAACCGGGTTATTGCAGCAGCTACACAGTGCGCTCTCTCCACGTCTCAGCTGGTCGCCTGCACCAGGGTGAGTACTGGGACCTGCGGTGGTTGGTCAGAAAGATCACAGCTGATACTTAAAGAGCTTTGATGTTCTTGTTAAAGTGGACAACATTTAGGCAGAACATTATGACCAGGGAAATGTATTGTGAATTTTTTTCTTTTTTATCAAGGAAAAAAAATTCCTTGATATGGCTGAGATTGGTTTATTTATTACAAAAATATTCATAGCCTTTGAGCAGTTTCACAATTTACAACATTACAACTGTAAACTTAAGTCTGGACTTTGACTAGACCAATACAATACATGATTATGCTGTGGTCTAACCCAGGAGCATCAGGCTCCAGTGCTCATATTCTACAGTGTTCTGTAATGCACATTTGTCATTGTCTGATCTGTTGAGCCTGATCAATGTGTTCCTGGGTCAACACACTTGGAATCAACTGGCTGATTTCCTCCTCAGCATGTCATTAAGTCCTGCAGAATTCTGCTTATAACCTAGATATTTGATTCTTCGTATATTTGTACAGCATATTGGTCTGCTGCTATGTTGATTCTAATGTGCTTCAGCTATAAAGTGGGAAGGTATGGTAAAGATGTGTTCTCTTTCCACAAGGTGGTGGCTCCAACCATTAGTTCCCCAGTGTGCCAGGAGCAGCTGATAGAGGCAGGCAAGCTGGTGGCCAAGTCAGTAGAAGGATGTATGGAGGCCTCCCAGATGGCCACCAACGACGAGGGTCTTCTAAAACAGGTTGGCCAGGCTGCCACAGGGGTCACTCAGGCCCTCAATGAGCTGCTGCAGCACATCAAGCAGTACGCCAGCGGAGGCCATCCTATTGGACGGCATGGAGAGGCCACTGACTGCATCCTGGATGTTACTGAGAAGATCTTTAATGCAATGGGAAATGCTGGTGAGTGGAAGTGGACACCTCTTAGTGCTGTGGATGAATGGGTGTTAATGATGCAGGTCATCATAAATAACCAAGTATTGTGCCAACTGGTGGTCAGTTTAAAAAAAGAAAAGGGTCAGAATTTTTCATTCAAGTTCAAGTTTTGACCTGTCAGTATTCAGTACTAATTTATAACTAATTCTGATTTCTCTTTGAGAACAGCAATATAATAAAAGGTCATGAGAAAAAAAAATTCAATTACTTTCTGTTGTAAGTGGCCGTTAGTTATTTACCTTACAAGGAGAGGAGACTTGCTATGTGTGGGTCAGTTGCAATAAAACATGGTTTTAATAATACAATAAAGCAAAGAGAGAGCTATTACAGTTATTTTAAATTGTCTTACGTTTAGTGTGGTTACTTAGGCTAGCGTTGTTAAAATGCCAGTCCTTATTTCAAAAAGGCTGTAAACATTGATGAGTGCGCTCCATGACACAGAGGTTGAAATGCCAATAGGATAAAATAAAGCAGCTTTAGTGTACTCCATACAGCCTTCCTGTTATCTGGTGAGAGTATTGTTTTCTTTTGCTGCCGGAATGAACTACAAGTTGTTTAGATATGATGTCATAAAAGTAGCTCCCCCTGCTTTGAGTTTCCTTTTCTCAGTAACAACCATGAGAGTGTTGTTGTCAAGACAGCCTAGTAGCTGTGGTTATGGGTCATTCTGCTGCCTAATTCTTGCCGCCAAATGATTTCTCGTTTCAGTTCTTGTAAGACAATAAACCATTATCATCACATTTCCTTTTCCTAAACCTCCTGCTCACATAGATGCAAGCAGTTATAAAGTTTTTTTTACCAACATTATACAGGAAGAGTACTTCCTGTATAATATTCATACTTTTATAGGTCATCAGTTATGACTACTTTAATTTTAAACTACAAGTTGCACTCACCTCTCTCCAAGGAGGTAAGTTTGTTGTGGATCATTAAGTCTGTTGTTCCTCCCCCGAGATGCTCTAGTATGTGTGAAAGAGTAAAAAGCAAGAGTCGGCAAGTAATGAACATTGTTTTAAAGGTTGTAAAAATAAAATCTGTAAAACACACAAAGCTAATAAAACAGTGTGATGATATTTCATATCAAGGACCTTTTTCTAAACCTTTTCTTTGATTCACATTTTATCTTTCTCTCTAACATACCAGGTGAGATGGTTCGCCAGGCTCGTATTCTTGCCCAGGCCACGTCTGATCTTGTCAATGCCATCAAAATGGATGCAGAGGGAGAGTCTGATCTGGAAAACTCCCGCAAGCTTCTCTCTGCAGCCAAACTTCTGGCTGATGCCACTGCTAAAATGGTGGAGGCTGCTAAGGTTAGCCTACCTCAGTAGTTCCTTAACTTAATAGAAATGCTCTAACCTATCTGTAAGTCGGCTGTGAGCTGCTGTGGTGTTTCTGCAGGGTGCAGCCGCCAATCCTGACAGTGAGGAACAGCAGCAGAAACTGCGTGAAGCTGCAGAAGGCCTGCGGATGGCCACCAATGCTGCTGCCCAGAATGCTATCAAGAAGCGGCTCATCAACAATCTGGAGGTAAAATAAAATGGAACATGCTCGGGTTATAACTTTTTATAGTCAGGATATAGGAATTAAGAAAACCAAACACCTTTCATGTGTAGTAGACTGAAGTCTTTAATTTTTTCTCTGGCAGAATGCTGCCAAACAAGCCGCAGCAGCTGCCACTCAGACGATAGCTGCAGCCCAGCATGCTGCCTCATCCAACAAGAATCAGGCTGCACAGCAACAGCTCGTCCAGAGCTGCAAGGTGAGCCCTCGACCTGCTCTGATCTGCTCACCCAAACCTACACATACACACAGTGGCATAATTCAGCACAGAACCTGAAAAAGTCAAACATTCCATATTCTCCTTTTTAAACATAGGCTTTAGTGCGGAAGTATCTGGGTGTTTTCTACCAGGAGCCAGCTATCTGCTCCAACAAATCCTGCAAAGGAGCACACATTTTGGTGAAAGCAATGTTTCTGGGAAACGTTTGAGTAACTGTTGCAAAATTGCTACTGTGAACTGTGTTAAAGTATCCAGGTTGCTATGATAAAGAGCATGTGCAGATGTGATTAGCATTAGATCTATGGAAGTTTTTTGTTGCATCATGTTATGGACAGTCTTAGAGCTGATTGTTTGAATACAGTAAAATAAGGAGATTTTACTGAGGGACAAAAAAAACCAAAATAATCATTCTGACAGTGAAACGTTATCTTAGAACCTATATGTGCTACAGTTGCCCCTCGCCTCAGGACCCATACAAGATTCACTGATTTTGCAAGATTCTTTCATCTTGTCAAGTCAGCTGTATTTCTTCAATATGTTTTGACACGACAGCTCCCCACATTACAGTACCTGCCTATGTGTCACATGGAATCACTTGGTCTGGTAAAGGTTACTTTAAAACCCAATAAAACTGAGCCAGGATAGCACTCAGTTGAAGTTTAGTGTTTATCTAAACTTCAACTTTCTGCAATCCTCTGTATTGCAGAAAGTAGTCTGGAATACAAATCCACTGCTGTCCACTGCACCAGAAGCTGTTTTATTTCTACAAAACTTCTCTTATTAGTAACAAAGCTGAACTTCAGCACTTATAAAACCAGACATAACAAATTGACTTCCCATCTTGTGTGTGTGTGTGATCAGGTGGTGGCAGAGCAGATCCCTCAGCTGGTTCAAGGAGTCCGAGGCAGCCAGTCTCAGCCTGACAGCCCCAGTGCCCAGCTTGCCCTCATTGGTGCTAGTCAGAACTTCCTGCAGGTGACTGATTACCTGCATGAAACTGAACAGTTTCAGGCATGGAACTGAATTGTGTTTTAAATGTTTATATATATATATATATATATATATATATATATATATATATATATATAATATTTTTTTATTTTTTCCAGTATTTTTAATTATTTACTAAGCAGGAAAACAGGTCAGATGCTAGTACGTCTCTGGTATGATGAATTGCTACTTTAAGCTGCTGCTCTTTTCTCAAGTACTAATCTTCAATCTATGCTGTCCAAACAAGACAAACATAAATGCATTTAGAGTCAGAATCAACTTTATTTGCCAAGTTGTGCACACAAACGAGCAGTTTGATTTTGGTCCTGTATTTATTGGTGTTTTCAAATTAGAGTTGCTTCCATCAGGTTTCTTGCTGCTGATCAATCACCTATGAGGGCCGATCACTGCAGATCACCAATACTAATCATATGGATTGGCTGTTAATTTTTGATTTAGGTATAAATGCTGCTGACTATGTGGTCTGGTAAAAAGGATGACTGAAAAATAGTTATCAGTAATACAATATTTAACAGTTTGAAAACAGTAAGGCTCCCAACAGCCTAAATTATACAGAAAGTCAAAACAATGCTAATACACTGCTTATGTCAAGTAATGTCAAGTCAAAGGAAACATTCAGAGTCAAATGCAGGTTTCATTCAAATAAACAAACACATGTTCCTAAATTCCTAAATCAAAACTCCCTGAGAACATGGCTAATTGTTCTGTGCATGTGCAAACTCTCTGCTGCGCAGTGTCAAAGCATGACTGATAGTTTTGAGACCCTCTTACTGACTGATTGGTTGTTTTTGACCAAGCAGGATAATTCTGCAGAACATAGGGAAGAGGTAGAGGAGCTTGATTTTTTCCCCCCTCTTTTTGTCCTGTTAAGGCATATGTAAAAGCTTTTTTTTTTAAGTTGCATGCTGCAGCTTTAAAGAGACATCCGATGTGAGAGTCCACTGTCAGGTGGAGGTTGAACGGCACTGCGTCTGTGAAATATTACATCTCAGAAGCACGTAGCCGTCAGTGGAACCCAGCGTATTCCTCCTCTGACAAAGGCTGGCCTTCTTGCCTGATGAATTTGATTCAGTTTTTTTAATATATTTTTTTTTATTTTTTTATTTCAGTTCAGCCTTCTGACCGTCATGCTCATCTGGGCAAACGTTTGCAATTTTGCGTTGCTTTACCTGCTGTCTGTCTTGTCTAGGCGTCTTTTTGTTCCTGCTTTGAGCCTCCAGAACTCACCATATTCCATCGACTGCTTTTTTTTTTTAAAATGTCACAAATTCTTTGTGTTGATGCATTGTGATGTACTGCATCCCTGAGGTATTTTTCCATTGCAAGATGCAAACTTCACATCTCTATCAAAGTGCAAAAGTTTCACATGACATTGCCTAGGTCTAGGATTTGCTGAATATATGTTCTATGTGTAAAATGTATAGGTCTGCAGGGGGTGGTTAATTAGGTCTACAATTTCCGATAAATAACTTGTTATATTTTGCTTTACTATTAATCTTCAAAATGTAATAATCGGTGTGTTAGGGACTTCCATTCCAAAAGTTCATCTTTGTTCTAATATCACGTTTGGTGAACACCTCAGATAATCTGCATAAATCACATTTGTCTTCCTATCCAAGTTAATTCAGTTTGTCTCTTCCTGTCCTCTTCCAGCCAGGAGCTAAGATGGTAACAGCATGTAAAGCCACTGTTCCAACCATCAATGACCAGGCATCAGCCATGCAACTCAGCCAATGCGCTAAGAATCTGGCCAGCGCCCTGGCAGAACTTCGCACTGCCTCACAGAAGGTAAAAGGTCATGACCTCCACCTGAATCATTGTCTTCTGCCCCATGTTGATGGATTACAGGAGACATGAAAACAAACAAACATGCTAAATCAGTGTTTCTCAACCTGTTTTGGGCCAGCGCCCCCCCAGCCCTTATCCAGGTCCCTCACCGCCCCCCACCAAAGAATTTGTAGGCTACTTTGCACTGACCATTATTTTATCATTAATATTACTATCACTATTGTAGATGTTTTGATTTTTATGCTTGTTTCTGTATTTATCATCAAAAATAATTTCCCAGAGAACAAAAAAGCCATGGGAATAGAAATTATTTTCACAGGCGTCTAAGAAAAATGCAATGAACATTCAAGATAAAATCTGTAGGCCTAACAGCAGCCAATCAGAGGGAAAATATATTCTTGTTCTTTGCCATTTTCTAGTTGTTAAATATTACACAAAATGACCAGATAAAAGATGAACAACATGCCAGTTTAAACTTTGAACTATTTGCAAAACCACTGAGCTCTGGAACATTAAAACATG